CTCGCAATTAATGAGCAGGCTAGTATGTCTCTCTCTCTCTCTCTCTCCTCTTGTTTCTGTCTCTCTTTTTTTTCTCTCTCTCTTCCTCTTGCTCACTCCTCTCGGTTTCTGCTCTCTCTCCTCTCCCTGTTTTTCTCCTTCCCCCTTGCCATCTCTATCTTTCTTCCTCTCTCCCCTCTTTCGCTCTCTCTCTCTTCTGTGTGTGGGTTTGTGTGGTGTGAGGTGTTTCTGTGTGTGTGTTTGGGAGTGTGTCGTGTGCGCTGCGTGGCGTGCCGCCGGTGTTGTCTGTCTGTCTCTCTCTCTATCCCCTCTCTCCCTGCCTCTTTTCTCTCCCGCTCCCCTTTCCCGGTCCCTCATATTTACCCATTCTCTCTACGTTCACAGTGTCATCTCCCATCCTTCTGTAGAATTAGTTAGACAAGCTGGGCGGACAGATTGGCTATGTTAGAAGGCAGTCAGCAGTAGTGTCCACAATATCGTAACACCAGTGCCAAACTAAAACGCAGCTCGGATGCGTGTCATATACGATCCCAAATCAAGTAGCGCGTCTGGGAGCGACATAATAACGGAGGTTTGCTTCAGCCCTGTGTATACCATAGAGAGAGAGGCGAAGGAGGGGGGGGGAGAGGGCAAGATGTATTCCACTTCCTTCTAGAGTGCTGATAAGACAAAGGGATGAGGAGAAATAGAGAGCCGAGAAGATTGAAGGACACGCGCGAGCAGAGAAGGTTGCAGGGGGCGAACATAAACGGATCTAGGAGAGAGAAAGAGAGAGAGAAAGAGAGAGAGAGTGCGCGAGATGAGTAGGAGACGAGAGAGAGAGATGAGAGAGAGCGAGAGCGAGAGCACGAGAGTCGAGAGCAGAGAGAGAAGAGAGAGAGAGAAAGAGAGAGAGCGATGAGCCGAGAGCGAGAGAGAAAGAGAAGAGAAAGAGAGCTGCTGGTTCGGCCCTGCGGATTCAAAAGGTCTTTTCAAAATTTATTATCCTATACCATCTACGCATTTTGCAATAAATTGCCTAAACCTCTAGAGTTTGCTGTATCTTGCACATGTCTTCATGCGGCATTCTTCATTGCGACAGCAATAAATGTAGAGGCAGCGATGCGTTTGCTGTCAGATATAGAATAGCGCCATAGGGAGGGCTAACGCTCATCTCCATTAGGAGTGCTTTCCCAACTTGATATCAATTAATGCATGAATGATTAATGATTGCATATCCTAACCCGTTAACCCTAACCCTAACCCTAACCTAACCTATAACATAACCCTAACATTAATGACATAAAGTTAGGGACACTCCTAATGGAGTATCACCCCATAGGGAGTCAGAGCAGTTGCGCAATTCATGCGTGAGACCAAAGTGGGTGGACAGTTAATGCACGATTGTGAGAGCTGAAAAACTGTGGAAAAACACGCTACATGAGGGCGCGCCTTCCCCGTCAGTAATTGTCTTCCTTGTGGCTGAACTCTTCTTGGCCTGCTCGGACCATCTTTCTTTCTTCTCCGACATTTCTTCCCTGCTTCGGCCTCGCTTGCTTTCTTCGCTTCTGTCACATTTCACTAATAGTCATAGCACCTCCCTTTTCCTCTCTGTCGTGACCCCTTCTTCCGCTCTGACCTCTTCCTTCCGCTGTTCTGACCTCGCTCTTTTCTCCGTTTCCTTCGCTCTACCCTCCCTTACCTCTCTTCCTCCCCCCTCTTGCTCTCTTCTCTCCTCTCTATGTCTTCTCTTCCCCTTTGCTTCTCATCCGCGCGTCCTGTAGAAATTTCCCTTGACGATAGCTGCCACGTTTCCATTTCAGTAGCACCGAGGAGAAGCTAGGGAGGCCCGCTGAGAAGACAGAACTCGACTGACACTTTGAGGAATCTAGCGGCGCGGCGCGACAAGTAGCGAAGATTATGGTCATAGAGAAGCATGATGAGTCAGAACTCGTTTGCGTTGTATGCGGTGGCGGTCCTCCAGCCGAACCCAACTGTACGGTTCTCTCGCGGCGCGCGCGTTCGTCCCAACGTGCGCGCGTCCAATGCGTCGTCGTCTTTTACACTGCAGAACTTGCGGAGCGGCCACTCGACGTGTCATTTCCCGAATGCATTTGCAGCAGAGCCTGTCAGGTGGATGGCGACCTATGGGGAGTTGGTAGCTTTAATGTTCTACGATGCGGATAACTCCTACACTGTTATAGGCAGGGAATAACTCCATGAACGGTGGCTAGAGGTGACTTCCTACACTGTTGGGGGAACTTCTCATACTTTGTGGGTGAGTGGCGGATAAATATGCTGACACTGAGGGGTTGAGTGGGAGATGGTAACATGTCTACACTGGAGTGAGTGGGATCAACATGCTACACTGGTTGAATGTGGGGATACATGCTACACTGAGTGAAGTGGGGATAATATGCTACACTCGAGTGTGTGGGCGGATAACATGCTACACTGACCGTGAGTTGCGGATAACTACTACACTGAGACTGGGAGTGGGATAACATGCTATCACTTGAGTGAGTGGGCGATAACATGCTTACCACTGACGGTGAGTGGGGATAACATGCTACACTGAGTGAGTGGGGATAACATGCTACACTGAGTGAGTGGGGATAACATGCTACACTGAGTGAGTGGGGATAACATGCTACACTGAGTGAGTGGGGATAACATGCTACACTGAGTGAGTGGGGATAATATGCTACACTGAGTGAGTGGGGATAACATGCTACACTGAGTGAGTGGGGATAGCATGCTACACTGAGTGAGTGGGGATAACATGCTACACTGAGTGAGTGGGGATAGCATGCTACACTGAGTGAGTGGGGATAACATTATACACGGTGGGTAGGTGCTGGCAGTAGGTTTCTTCACTGTGGGTGGATGGGCGTAACATCCTACTACTCTGTGTGTGGGTGGGGTTAAAATTATACAGTGTGAGGGGGTGGGTCGGGAACAATTGCTACATGCTACGTGTAGGTGGACAAGGATAATATCAAGAGCTAATATTATTATTATGATATAATAATGATTATTAGCTCTTGATAAGGCCAACACAAAATATAGGTGTGGTTACGGTTTCCCGACCGACCCTATTTATTCCCAGCGACCCTAAACATTTTATTGTCAATTTTCTTTAAAGTCAAAAAAATAAAAAAAATAAAAAAAATAAATAAATATGAATTGGACAGTTCCTGCTTTAAAAGACACAACGCACATTCTTCGGACATGGTTCGTAAATAAAATATTTTAAGAAAATAAAATGTTTTCCCTACCTACCTACCCTATTTTTTTCGGCATGTAACGGTAACCACACATATATTTTGTTTTGGCTTAATATCCTACACTGTACTGGCAGGTGGGTCGGGAACACTTACTACAGCTCATAGGGTCTATGTCCCACAGGGTACTGTCGGAACGTACCCTGGTTACTATTTGATATGGTTTGGGTTAGGATTAGGGTTAGGGTTACGGAGTAGGCGTAGGCGACTCCCTAGACTCGTTAGTGGAGTAGGCGAGTTACGGTCCGGCATATTAGATAGTACCATGGTACGTTCTGGTATACCGGACCGTACCCAGGGTACGTTCCGGCAGTACCCCGGGGGAAAATAGACCCTCTCAGCCTTACTACATACTACGTGTGGGTGGACAAGGATAATATCCTACACTGTACTTGCGGGTGGCCAAGGATAAATTCTAATTTCCGAATGTCAGGACAAGCGAATAGAACGATGTGCTGCCACTAGATCAGATATAGCATCAGTAAAAAATGTCCACTCGTCTATCTGATTCGGTTAAAATCGGATCGCTAAGCACCCCAAGCCCTTTCGCGATTGCAATAATGGTTAGCGGCTCCATCCCATTCGAGTTGATTTGTCTGAATTTTACGATACCATCGGAGCGAATGCTCTCCGCTTGGCAAGCCGTCGAGTCGTGGATTTGTCAAAGAATTGCGCTGACCCGACAGAGCAATTTCATCTGCAAGCCGTCGCGTCTTTTGCGGCCGATGTGCGTAGAGCTTGTTCAACGTGTCGCACTGGGAAGCCGTTAGGCGATGCAGAGCAGTTGTTAAACAGGCGCTGACTGTTAACTGGTGAAAAGGGGCGGTAATCACTGATTACTGATGGAAATGTATGGGGAGCTCGTGCAATAAGCGAGAGAGAGAGAGAGATAGAGGCAGGGTTTCAGGCAGATCCGCAGACGAGTGACTCTTAAGCGATTCGCGCAGCTGAGTGGACCTAATACGTATTGCGCGGTGTCGCGCTGCTTTTTTTGCGTTGACGTCGTTCTTTGTGAGCAATATTGGGTTAGTTCTCTGAACTATAAATATTGCCTGAATGTTGAAGATTGCCTGGCGGAAGCAGTTAGTGCATTTCGACAGAGAAGGGCTAACGCTCCATTAGGAGTGTTCCCAACTTTGATATCATTAATGATGAATGATTAATGATTGATAATCCTAACCCTAACCCTAACCCTAACCCTAACCTAACCTATAACATAACCCTAACCATTAATGACATTAAAGTTGGGAACACTCCTAATGGAGTATCACCCCATAGGGGAGTCAGAAGCAGTGCGCAATTATGGTGAGACAAAGTGGTGGACAGTAATGCACGATGTGAGACTGAAACTGTGGAACACGCTACAGTGAGGGCGCTCCTTCCCCCGTCAGTATTGTCTTCCTCGTGCTGAACTCTCTTGCCTGCTCTGACCTATCTTTCCTTTCTTCTCCGACATTTCTTCCCTGCTTCGGCCTCGCTTGCTTCTTCGTTCTGTCCACATTTACTAATCGTCTAGCACCTCCCTTTCCTCTCTGTTGTGACCCCTCCTTCCCGCTCTGACCTCTTCCTTCGCTGTTCTGACCTCGCTCTTTTCTCCGTTCCTGTCCCTCTACCCCTCCCTACCTCTCTTCCCTCCCCCCTCTTGCTCTCTCTCTCCCTCTCTATGCTCTCTCCCCTTCTGCCTCTACCATCTTCCTGTAGAAATTTCCTTGACGATGTGCCACGTTTCCATTTCAGTACACCGAGGAGAAGCTAGGGGGCGCTGAGAAGACAGAACTCGATGCACACTTTGAGAATCTAGCGGCGCGGGCCGACAAGACGAAGATATGGTCAGAGAAGCTGATGAGTCAGACGGTGGCGGTCCTCCAGCCGAACCCAAGTACGTTTCTCGCGCGCGCGCTTCGTCCCAACGTGCGCGCGTCCAAGCGTCGTGGTCTTTTACACTGCCAACTGCGAGGCCACTCGACGTGTCATTTCCCGATGCATTGCAGAGAGCTGTTCAGGGTGGATGGGATATCGGGAGTTGGGTACTTTAATGTTCTACGAGGGATAACTTCCTACACTGTTATGGCAGGAATAACTCCATGAACGGTGGCTAGAGGTGACTTCCTACACTGTTGGGAAACTTCCTACTTTGTGGGTGAGTGGGGATAACATGCATCACAACCAATATGCAAATAGTACCAGAGGGTACGTTTCCGGACAGTAACCTGGTGGACCATAGACCCACCGCCAGTACAGTGTAGGATATTCTAAGCCAAAATAAAATATAATGTGTGGTTTACCGTTATTACATTGCCGAAAAAAATAGGGTAGGTAGGTTAGGGAAAGACATTTTATTTTCTTAAATATTTTATTGTACGAACCATGTCGCGAGAATGTGCGTTGTGTCTTTAAAGCAGGAACTGTCCAATTCAATATTTATTTTTTAAATATTTTTTATTTTTTTTTGGACTTTAAGAAAATTGAACTAAAATGTTAGGGTCGCATGAAAAATAGGGTCGTCGCGGAACCGTAACCACACCTATATTTGTTTTGGCCTTATCAAGAGCTAATAATCATTATTATTATTCACATAATAAATATTAGCTCTTGATATTATCCTTGTCACACTACACGTCAGCAATAAGCATTGTAGCAATTGTCCCGGACCACCGCCCTCACACCTGTCTAATTTAACCACCACCCACAGCACAGAGAGTAGGCATTCTTACGCCATCACCACAGTGAAGAAACCTAACTTGCCACACCTCCCCACCGTGTCATAATGTACCACTCACTCAGTGTAGCAACTGCTATCCCCCCACTCCACTCAGTGTAAGCATGTATCCCCACTCACTACAGTGTAGCATGGCTATCGTCCCCCACTCACTCAGTGTAGCAATGTTATCCCCACCACTCAGTGTAGCATGTTATACCCACTCACCTCAGTGTAGCATGTCAATCCCCACTCACTCAGTGGTAGCCATGTTTTATCCCACTCACATCAGTGTAGGCTAGTTATCCCCACTCACGTAGTGTGCAAGGGGGGGGGGGGGGGGGTGTTATCCCCACTCATTCAGTGTAGGGGCATGTTAATCCCACTCACTCAGTGTCCATGTTGGTATCCCCACTCACCGTCAGTGGTAAGCATGTTATCGCCCACTCACTCAAGTGATAGCATGTTATCCCACTCCCAGTCTCAGTGTAGTAGTTATCCGCAACTCACGGTCAGTGTAGCATGTTATCCGCCCACACACTCGAGTGTAGCATATTATCCCCACTTCACTCAGTGTAGCATGTATCCCCACATTCAACCAGTGTAGCATGTTGATCCCACTCACTCCAGTGTAGACATGTTACCATCTCCCACTCAACCCCTCAGTGTCAGCATAT